TCTCTTCAGGCCTTGAAACAAAACATGTGAAATTGACTCCATTAGTTGTTACAGGACCTGGACTTAACGAGTATATGTGTTAGATTGTCTGCCTGTGTTTGCTGTGTTTTTTTTCCCTTCTATGACTGTATCTTTCAAATTGGTGTTTGACTTTTGAGAAGGTTGTGAGGACTTAAACTGCTGGCACAGAAGAACTGCAATGATATAATGTCTATAATAAAGCATCCCATTTATCTACTTATGCCTGCATTTTTTGAGTTATCAAGCACTTAGGGATGTACAGACAATCAGACAGCTGAGTTAGCTAAACATTCTCAACCTTATTATTCTGCATAAATGCTAGAATAGGTACCAGAATGAACCATCCCAGCTTTTAACTCTGGATTCCCTTTAGTATAAAGCTAAGCTGTGGGGAGAAGGAGAAAGTATTCTTAACATTTACCTGTTCCATGAATCCTGACTGCCAGCCTTGTACAGACTGTTCTCTTTCAGCAATAAAATTAGAGTAGCTGGAGGAACAAATATACCCTGCTTTACAAGTAGCTTGTTTCAGACATCACCAAGAGGGACCTCTGGAGGTACCTGGGTAGTTTTGATTCTACATAATTTTCAATCAAAAGGCTTCAGAATGCCAATTAGTGCAATCTGCCATAGCCCTTGAATAGAACCTAAAGTACTTTCAGTCAAGCACAGAGATATGATTCTCATTTTGGTGAAAAATGTAAGAAGAGAGGGGGCAAAAAATAAAGCATTAAATGATCATGTCTGGCATTACCAGGCCTATTTGACTTTCATCTGCGAGAGAGGCATTATGCTGTGAATTCTAGAAACACGTCCTATCATTTTGCTGGACAAAGTCCCCAAATACCTTTAAATCTTTCAGTCTCAATTAGATTAGTCTATCTGAATGAAGGAAAATAAATCCTGAGAGCAATTAATGCTACTACAAGTTAGCCTCAGCAGTGTATCTGTACCAGGATACACAGAGATTGATCATCCTAACGAAGAACAGCAAACACTGCAGGCTTTAGCCCCATTGTGTAAATCCCCTAGCAATCCCACTTCCCTTTTCTTTCCTTGCTAAGTAGCAGGAGATGCTAGGAGTAAATAAAAGCTGCTGCCCTCTTAATCACCCTTCAACCCTTCCCACCTGATCAGTTTTAGTGGTGCTGAAAAGCAGTGCCAGTAACGTCATAACTGCATTCCACAGAAGCTGCCCAACTGACCTCTTCTCAGCATAGTTTTCCTAACGAAGAGGAAGCTATCTGGAGTCTGCTAGGAATAAGTTTTAATGGATATAAATGTAAATACAGTAATATATATAAATTGCATTTTCTCTCTGTGCAGTCCAGTCATCAAGCCTGTACAAACCTAATGGATAATATCTCGGGTGAGAGGCATGACTGGCTGCTTAGTTACCAGAGGAAGTTTAAAGGGTATGAATACTCCCTCAACCCTTCCTGCCTGTCATTCTGAAACTTTCTCTGTCAGACAGCCCGATCTGTCACTCAGGAACTATACCTGCTTGCCTGTTTATTTTCTCACTTGGGCTTGAGGTCACTTGCCCTCCTTTTAGCTAATCAGAGGAGACAGTAGTAATCAAAGCACAATATCCGTGCTCCAGGGATGTCTTTTTTGAACAGTCTCTCTGTACACTGTTCTGCAAATCTTGCAAAGTAATGTTGACATGTACAACCAGAGGAAAAGAACAGGGGAAAAGGTTTAGTTTGAGATCCAGCTAGAGGAAAAAAGTATTGTTCAATCTATATGCTACCTGGAAAAACAGGTGTAATATTTACTGAGGAATTTCTCATGTGTGACAAGAAAAATATCACTAAGTTTACTAAATGGTAGCCTTTCACAGGATAATTCAATGGATGTCCTAGCACAGATGTAAAGTGCAAAAAGGAGTTGAAAGTGCTTATTTTTCAAAACGGCAAATCAGCCTCCTGACTGCTCAGTGTTCTTAAGGGATTTATCTATAAGACAATGTGCCAGTCTGCATGGAGTTATTAATTTTGCTCTCTACATTTCCTCTACTAGATACCTTTGTTAGGCTCTGATAAACAGTATTAAATAGCTGTCAGGTCCTGCCTTCAAAATCAGTGCATTATAGCATCTACTAAAGCTATTCCTGTGGAGCTGATTCTGAAAAATAGCTTTATACTCTGGATGAGAGATTTGTATCTGCAGGAAAGAGCAGTGAAAGAACAACTGGGTTCAGAGAGAGAAGTGTCTGCCTTGTTTGCCTTTTGCCTAATCGTGTAGCGGGCTGGCAGTTTGCCTTACCTTGCAGACTCTTGCTCATCTTGAAAAGAGTTAAAGCGTACTAGTACCAGCCTGGTCTCTCAAGACTGATTTCTCTCTGCAATGCCATTGTGATGAATCATGCATTACTATGATTAGCAGAGAGAGGTACAATTACTTTCTTGCAGCCGTGGCTGGTAAAGGATTGCCTGGAAGCCCAGATGTGACAGAGGTGGAAAAAGCATCTTCTGGGACATGAAGGGAATAGAGATATGGAAACTGTTGCATTTACAGTAAAAAAAAAAAAAAAAAAAAAAAAAAAAAAAAAAAAGGAAATTGAAGAGGGGAACAGGAGGAAAAAGACTTGTAAATGAACAATACCAGGAACAGGGCCCTGACTGAATTGGACCTTCCCTCCGAGCAAGTATGACTCTTCTCATGCATAAGAACATACTTATCAGCAACTATTTGTAGCAGATGGTACCCCCTCAAGAGCGATTAAAAAGAAAAAAATGACAGAGACACTGAAAGATACTGAAGAAGAAAAACAAGCTATCCTGGAGAAGCTTTGATAGTATTACCAGGCAACTGAAAAGTGCCTGTCAAAATTGAAAGGAAGCAGGGTGGGGAGGCAGAGTGGAAGAGAATGTAATTAAGAGGATGAGAGCATTGGCCACCTGCATGATAGCCCCCTCATGGTCTCCATTCCTGGAAAAGACAGCAAGCTGCTTCTTCCTAATTCTGGTTGTTTCTAACCTGCTTGAAGAAGGACCCTGAGATGATACCAATGTCCTAAGAGCCTTTGAAATTCAAGTCCTCAATGTAGAGGAAATAAAATTTTAAATGGCACAAAAGTGTAACAAACCATTTTCTATTTCTGTAGTGTAAACAACAGTAATCTTTTGATGTCCTTAATATATTTTCCTTGTTTCTCAATAATCTCTCATTTCTCTCATTGCCAAGGCATGAACACTTGCAATACTTCTAAATTTCTATCAGTCTTTGTGGACCAGAATTGCTTATACAATGTAGTCTCTTATAGGTGGCAGGGCAACTTATCTGAAAGGTCCAAGGAAAGGTTTGGTGCTCGCACCATTAAAACCAAAGGTGCACCTATAGTCAAAGTGGTAACCACAGAATTCTGGAATGGTATGCATTGAAATGGACCTTCAAGGTCATCTGGATAATTTCAATCCCCCTTTAGTGGGCAGGGACACCTTCTATTACCAGGCTGCTCAGAACCCCATCCAGCCTGGCCTTGAACACGCCAGAGGCTGGGGCATCTACAACTGCTCTGGGCAACCTGCTCCAGTGCCTCACCACACTGTAAATCCCTAAAGGGTTTCTTCCTAATATCCAATCTAAACCTGCCCTCTTTTAGTTTGGAGCCGCTCCCCCTTGTCCTAAAAATGTAGCCTAGACTAGCCCACCACTGAAGTCACTTAAATCATGTTGATCTGAGTGTGAATCTCAGACTAACAGGACGGGTTGAGGAATGGGCTGACATGTTGGTCCTATTTCCCTTCGATTTGGCTGGAAACCCTCACTGACAAGCAACCACATAATTATTAGGTTGGAAAATACCCCTGTGAGTATCTAGCCTATGGACCTCGCTCATGCTTTCTCCGGGAGAAGGAGACCTTGTCCTCCCGTCTGGTCCCAGCCCGCGGCGCAGGGCACGCCCGAACAGCGGCGCGGCAGCTCCGAGCGGGGCTCTGCGGACCCTCCCGGCTGCTGCGAGCCGCGCTGCCGGGGCGGCGGACGGACAGACGGACCGGATGGAGGGAAGACATGGAGGGAAGGAGCGGCGCTCCTCTGCTGCCCTCTGCTGCAGGGCTCGGCTCCGCTGCGCTCCCTCCGAGCTCCCGGGAGAGCCGCCGTGCCAGCTCAGCTCCGAGCAGCCGGGGGACGGGAACGCCGCTGGGTGCGAGGCGACGCCGCGCTGTCCCAGACGGAGCGGCTGAAGAGAGGCTCCTGCAGGGACAAAGGCCGGTCCGGGAGGTGGAAACACATTATTGACACGTGTGAGAGGTCAAAACCTATCCCCCTATGCTCCCAGAGCAAACTTGAATTTTGCAGTGTTGTCTTGCCTGAAGATGATTAACGCCCTAATTAAGAGTTCTGAGCGAGAAGAAACTACGAATTTGACAAGTTTTGTGATGTTATTGAAATTTTATTAATTGAGACTTAAGCGGCACGTAGGAATGCCGCATCATTCTGGGTGAGCTGCAAGGGCACAGGCGAGGACAGCAGAGCCGGGATGCTGCCAGCCCTCCGGCACGGCTTTCCCTGCATCCCGAGGGCGCTGGCACACAGGCGGCATGCGAGGGCACGAGCACTCCGGCACTTTTTATTTCTCTCCAGTTTCCATGGGCTGAAAGCCATTTGAGGACTTTCCCTCCAAGCCAAGCGCTCAGTATAGCGCCGCAGGTGCTCGCGGCCCTCCCTGAGCGTCGGTATACCGAGGTGGGCACTGCTCAGGTGCCCAGAGAGGCCGGGTACTCCTTCGCTCGCTCCCTGTACCCTCCCTGGCTCTCCTGCTTCCGTCCTTGTCCCTTTCGCTCCCGCTCTCTCCTTCTCCCGCCTCAGGCTCGCACAATCGCTGCCGGGGGCAGGGCCCTCCCTTAGCCCGCCCCCTCGGCGCGGGCCCATAGGCTTCCACTGCTGCCAATCAACATGTCCCGCCTTTCCTCTCCGCTGCTGAATCAACCGCCGAGCAACGGATTGCGGCGGCCATCGATTCCCTCGGCTTGCCCTGCCGCACATCCCGGTGCCGGTCCCTGGTCCTGGCCGGGGGATGTAGGAGGACGCGCGGCCGAAGGTACCCGGGCAGAGCCGCCGCCTGTCGCCTGCAAGGGCGGGCGCAGCCGCCGCCGCGGCCGTGTGGCTGTAGGCGTTCCTCGGGGAGACCGGGAAGGGGCACGGCTGCTCCCCGCCTGCCCCCCCGCCGCCGGTCCCGCCCGTGCCTGTGGCGTGTGCCTGCCCGTCCCGCGGGGCCATGGAGCGCGCGTTCACGCCGCTGGAATGCCTCCTGCCCGCCGGTACGGTACCTCCCGCCCCAGCCGGGCGGCGGGGGGAGGGGAGGGAGCGGGGCGGCCGCGCCCCCCGCCCCGAGCCTGCCCCGCCGAGCCCCGCTGCGGGAACACCGCCCGTGTCCGCCCCGCCGCGTGTCCGCCCCGCTGAGGCTGAGCTTTGGGCTCAGTGCAGCGCCTTGGTACCGTGTTAGCCTCCTCTGGAGTCCCAGCTGTCATTTAAACCCCGAGCCCTTCGGGTTCAGTCGCTGCTTTCCGTTTGCTGCCACCGCTTTCTCGGCGTGGCCGGGCAGAGCGCTGCGGTGACGCCTGGCTGTCCCTTATCTCCTGGCTGCCCCTGGGCCGAGGGGTCCCTGGGCTTGGCATCCACCCGCCCTGTGCCTTTGGCTCCCCGCCTCCTGCCCGTGTGCTTTGCCCTAGAGCCACCCTTGCACCCTGCCTTGCCCTTCAGTTGTGCGCAGCAAAGCTTTGAGGTTTGTGTTCAGGGTTTTCTTTGGTTTTCTCAAGGTTTCCAACAGTCGTGTGGTTTTGATACTATTTTTGAGACCTGAGAGGTGAGCTTTATTAATATGCATCATTAACCTTATTATGTGTCTAAAGGATGGAGCACCTGTAATAAGCACAGACTTATCCAAGTGGCTTGTACACAGTTTGGAATAGGTACCTCTTCTTCTCTCTGTGTTTGCACAGTCTAATTCAATAGGGTCCAATTTGTTGTTCAGTGATACAAATCTAAACAGTAAATATTTTTATCTTTCTATAATGTGATTTTAAAGCTGCATAAAAATCTTTTTGGCCTAGCAGCTGAATTCTAACTGACACACTGTTTTTTTCTGCTCTGTTCTGGCACAGACACCAGCTGCTGCATTGAGGTAACTGTTATTTATTTACTAGTAAGATCTGTAGGAAGGGCAGAGTTTAACAGAATGCACACTTTCAACAATTCAGTACGTTTTTACAGCTAGCATTTTAAGAGCATGTTTGAATTCATTCCACTATGATACATTTTTTAAGTCATGCTTTGCTCTGATTCTTCAAAACTTCAGGATATGGTCAAAACTACTAACAGGTAAAGCTGCACTCAAGGTATTCTTGCCAGAAATGTGTATTTGACAGTGTGTGGATGTGGACTTTGAGACACACTGTTGCTTTGGGGGGGAAAGAGGGAATGAGCATGTAGGCAAGATTTTAATGGGTGAACTTTGATTCATTGTGATATGTTGTCCTCTTGTATACAAGGAGTGATTATTAAGTATGTAATAAAGCCAAACAAAAAGCTGCCTTTCATTGGTAAGAGGACTGGAGCACTTGTCCTGTGAGGACAGGCTGACAAAATTGGGCTGTTCAGGCTGGAGAAGAGGTTGCTGTGAGGTTGTGTGCAGACGTCATAGCAAGTGTCCAGTGTCAGAAGGGGGCCTATGGGGAAGCCAGAGAGGGACTCTCCATCCAGAGCTGTAGTGATAGGACAAGGAGTAATGGGCTCAAATTCAAAGAGGGGAAATTCAGGTTATAGATATTAGGAAGAAATTCTTTACTGTGAGTGTGATGAGACACTGGAACAGCCAGAGAGGCTGTGGATGCCCTGACCCTGTACAAGACCAGATATGATAAGGCCTTGAGCAGCCTGATTTAGTGGGTGGTGGTGTCCCTATCCATGGCAGGGAAGATTGGAACCAGGTCATTTATAAGGTCCATTCCAACCCCTTAATGTTTTATGATTCTATAAATTTATCCCTGTGGAAGTACCAGCATTGCTGTCTGTATTATAAGATAGTTGATAGACATTGTACAATGCAAGGGCTACCATATGTCCTCAGTTTCCAGGAATTGCCTGTCTTTTTCTTTGTTATGTCTGGTTGGATTTGAAGATTGGTGATATTTGTTCAGTTTTCTTGTGACCCACAAGAAAGCCTTCTCATACCAGAGGCTCCAGCTGGATGTAAAGAAGCCTGCTTCTCTGAAAGAAAAGTCTGCTCCTTGCCTACAGATCAGTTGGTTATACAGGTTGTGCCTGTAAAATGCACAGTGGTACTTCATCAGGATCCTTGTCATCATTACAGACATTCATTACCAGCATTACCAACTGAATTAGCCTGCTCAAAGTATTCAATGCTGAGCAGATTTATTTGGCAATTCCACCGTTTAAACTCTGGTATCCCACTTGGGGAACTCAGAAATAAGGTTTTCAAAATTGGATAGCTAAAATGAACCTCCCAATTTCTTCTGGAGAAAGTACCTACTGGTAGTTCCTCCATCTGTTTCATTGGGATAGGTATTTAAGTGTCCAAATAGTATAAAGCTAATCAGTGAAGAACATGGCATTTCTTAGAAGCTAAACATGAGCTTACAAAATAAACCCTTTTGAGGCCATTGAAGCACTATGGGCCTTACCCCTTTCCTTCAACACTAGAAATAGTATTATGTATAGCAATGTGTTTATGGGGGGGACTCTGTGAAAGATTCATCAGCTATGTTTGAAAATTATTAATTACTTTGTTTCTGTTTTTGAAGTTGTTCAGAATTTATTCTTTTGTTGATACAGGGTAGAGTAAAACACTCCCAGGCTTTAGAACATTATAATATTAGATAGCTGAATTGGAATTTCAGGGCCATGTATGCCTTGGTAATTGTAGTGTAGTTAAAGTGAGTTCTTAGATTGTACATCTCGCTCTATCTCACCTGATTGATGTTCAAGTAATAGATATTTGAGAACTACTGTGCTAACTAGTATGCTCAGGGACTTTGAACATTATTCAATCAAACAGCTGGAGCACAGTTGAAAATCACCATGCTGCAGTTAGAACACCATGCTGTGGACTTTAGAACTATGTTGATTTGCTTAACATAGTTCAGAATGGGTAACAAGATAGAATTTAAAGTGGGATTGAGTCTAAATTTATGTCTTGCACACTAAAAAAATTTTTTTTTTAATTTCCTCATGGAAGGAAACCTTTAAAAAGTCTCATAGAACGCTCCACCTCAGAGACCTCTATGCTGTCTGAAAGGGTCAGAGAGAAGCTTCACAGGGAAGGGTCTTGTAGAAGGCTCATAATGATGTCACACTGCAGCCTGTGAGTTCATGACAACAGTAGCTTTGTTTATCTGGAGCATCCTTTGATAGACTCGACATTTCCCTCCTGCTGTTTATACCGTTCTCTTGCACTGTCGTTGCCTCCTGCTGCTTGTCCCAGACTGTGCTGCAGGCACTTCTGCAGAGAGACAAGTGTTTCTAATTTATTATTTTAATACCATGAACTTTGGGAGCTGAGTGTGCTGTGCTTGTGACTGCTTAACAGTGGAAGTACTGTAGCATCGTCTAATAAGGTTGCCCCTGAATACCACTTGAGATTTTGAGAAGGGCAGAGTGCCAGTTTGCCAGGCTGTGTTTTCTCACAGGGAACGTTTTACATTGCCTGCTGTAGCATGGCCTGGATTCTTGCTCGTCTCCAGATGTGATTAATGATTCCTTGCCTTGCACAGTCCTTAAAGTGGCTCAGTATTGGTTTTATCAAGTGGAGTGATGCAGAAGGAGGATATCTTCCTCAGTTTATCATTCAACAGCTCCCAGTATGAGTGTCTTGCCTTGGAGAGGTGGAGGGGCTGCAAAGAAGTGGCAAATCTTATTTATCCCTCTGCTCTCTTCTGTGCCTTGCCGAGGGTATGCTGGAGCTGAGCTTGCTGTGAGTGACAGGGAGCCTGTGCTACCAGTGAAAGTTGGTTTCCCTGTCCCCACTTCTCCATGCCCCAAGTCACATACACTCCTGAACTACACTGTGTTCAGAACTGGTGGTTAAGATGTGGTTTGCTCAGAAGTGGGTATGCTGTCTTTATCTCACTGAAGCAAGGTCGTCTATATGCCATGAGAGACACATCCACAACATATAGGACAAAGACTGCTTCAGAATTATGGAGAAAAATATATAGTCATCTCTTTGTGCAAAGGGACTATAAAATCCTGCATTGAATTTAAAGCAAAGAGAACAAGAGGAAGCAACAATATGCTCTGAATGGTCTTCCATCATTCTGCAAGCTTGATTGTCTCTTGCTTTACTCCATGTCTTCTGGAAATGTTACTGGCTGTAAATGAGTTACCTCTGAAAGGATTGTATCACCATATTCCTTTTAAATGCCTGGGGCTTGAACTTCTTCCTTAATGTTCCCTTTTATCTGGCACTAAGGAGTCAAAGTTATCTTGTGAAACAATGACATGTTTGCCATTCAGAAAATGACCTCCGGCCTGGTACACGTGCCAATGACTGTTTAAATGTCCCTTTACTAGAGCTCTCCAAGGTATCTATGATGCATTGTCTTGCCATCTAATTCACAAAACTCTGTGGTAGGAGTCAAGACAGTCGTGGGGCTAGAAAATCAACCTGATGGTCTCTGTTGGTTCCTGAATATTAAAGGTGTATGGAAAAGGTGTGGAGTCCCAAACTAATGGATAGCTCTGCAATTTTGCAGGATTTGTGCCACGGCTGTTGGGTCAGGCTAGTGAAGTTTTCAGGTGAATCAGGTAATTCAAAAGCTGTTACTGAATTCACTTAAACTGAAAGTGTTAACAGGGGTGTCAGTTCTTTTAAGACTACTACTGGCATTCCTTAATAGAATTAGGAAGCACTTCCATATGGCTGTTACATTATTCTGTCTTTTTAACTTAAATACTTTCAAAATGCTGTTTTATTTTTCTGTGAATGTTGCTGACCTACTCTTGTTCATTTCATTTAAGTAGCAACACCATTAATCTAGTCTAGTTACCTGAAACTCATTAGTTTGTTTTTGAAGTAGCTGTTAATATTCAGTTACTCAGACACTGCTGCTTGCTAATCTGCTGTGCTGGGTCAGCATTTTTGTAAGTATTATTGTATAGAGTACTTACAGATGCACTTATGAGTGAAGTATTACAGGCAGAATGGCATTTAAAAAACACATTCGTTGTTAACCTCACCACTTTCTTTTAGATCTTTGCTTTCACTCATGGAAAGCTTTTGGAGTTATTTATATATATTTTT